ACGCTTGCAAAAAACGGGCGCCAAAGCATAAATAGCTTAAAAGTAATGGTGAATTAAGCATAGGCTCTTGAAAACTGTGTTCAGCCACCTTAAATGAGCATGCTCATCTAGTCTAAATAGACTCAAAAACTCTTTTCAAAGGGTTCAATGCTCCAAATTAAAAAAAAATTATTATTATTATTACAGCATCATTACTAAAACATTACTGATGGAATTGTAAATAATCAATATTAAAAGTACAATCAAGCCTTTCAAAAAGGCATCATATAACAGTTCAAATTTCAGAGGATGAGAGTGAACTATTTGCTGAAGGGTTACAACAGCAGTATTCTGTTTATATAGGAGTGGACATCAATGTTTAGGATGAGATGGCAAACTGGTGGGATTTTTGGGGAGCATTCATTCACAGTTAAGATATGGCCTGCTAAATAACAATTTATTTATTATTCCTTTTGCCCAAAATTAACACTCTTGACTGATGCAATTCAGCAAAGCTTAAGAAAGGAAACCTCCTTTGTCATTTAGATCATAAGGAGAAGAAGAAAACAAGAAAATTATATTTATTACTGGAAGCCCAGATTTGTAACAAAAATACTCCATGCCAAGATTTGCATTGGACATGATCACTAATCCAGTACACAAAAAAATCTGAGATATCTGGTAAGATAGTATTTTGTTTTACTTTGCCATTAGCTATCTAAACAATACTACTACTAATTACATTTCTGACCATTCATTCTTTATACATTTTCTTTGATACTGGCAAGTCCTTTTACAAGTCTGAGTTACCTGTGCTATCAATGAAGGATTGTTTATAAAAATTGATACCAGTACATACAAAACTGTGCCTATTTTAAAAAAAAAACAGCCACAAAATAAACATCTATTGCTAATGCATGCTGTTATCAGTGGTCTAAAACCCGGAAAGTTTGTTGTTTTTTTCCTGAGAAATGAGTGAAACAAATTTTGATAAATGTTTCGAGATACAAGGCTTAAACACTTAATAGCAATTGGATAACATTGAGAGAATTTCTTCTTGAATTGAACAACAGCAATAATCTATGGGACTGATTCTTATGAAAGTTTTGGAAGAGACCATCAAAATAAATTAAAACACTTAGAATGTAAAACTCAGCATTCATTGCCAGCTTGGTTTCAGTCTTCCACTCATAACATTCTTCACATTTTCAAGCCAAGATTCTAAAAATTGTGCAATATTATTACAAAAACACCCACATGTTGATGTAACTTTCAATTAAGTGAATGGCAAAGTTACAATAGTAGAATCTGGGTTTAAAAGTAACTACAGTCAACTCAACTGCGGACACCCTGCTATTCATTCACTATTGTGTACACCCACTATTACAGACAAGTTACATCCCTAGCCAAAACTAAAAAGAAATGTATAGAAACAACTCCTGCTAATATGGACTTCCACCATTAAGGAATTACGGTTACTTCATGCGGTCCCAAAGTAATATTTTGTTCTTCTCTCGTTACGACAGACAACTTGGATGTATTAAATTACCTCCTTATTCTGCACCAGTCCTTTGGAATGTTTATTAATTTGTGCATGAGTTATTTTGAGTTATATTAGAATCATGATGAAGTCTCAAAGTAAATGTCTACTAAAAATTAAAAGGAAGTGGAAATCTTAAAGAGTATAGCAGTATACATTATTTGTGACACTTAGCAACTAAAAGTTGAGTCATTTTCATCAGACCCTGCTATTCCAAACTCTCTCTATAATGAACACCAAATGACAGTCCCAAGGGTGTCCGCTATGACAAGAGTTGACTGTAGTTAGAATAAAGTTACCATGATCATATCTGATATACAATGTAAGTATGTTTTTCAAATTTGCATGAAATGTTTGTCAAAAAAAATTTATATCTCCATCTAAGGGCAGTAATTTCACCACTCTGGAAGCTTCATAGAGACTGCAACCAGCTGTGATTGATGGCTGCCAATGGAAACCATTGACTAATCATTCAGCTCATTTGTCAAAAGCTGGTATTCAGTCTCTTGGAGTTTACAGAGTGGCAAATTATTAGCAACAGTCACAACTGTCAATTTATTTCATGTCTTCCTTGCAGCAAGGTAAACTGCCATAGTTCCTAACATAAGCACAATTCCAACTGTGTACCAGCTGGGTTCTGACAGCCGGAAATCTAGCACAGCTCTCTGTGGAGGAAAGATATTAAGATTAGAAAAAAATACCATATTCTAAGAAAGAATCACAAATATGAGCATTTTCATTTGTCTGAATGACAATCTGTGGTCCAATTTAAGACTATCTTTTTTGCCTTTTATTTAAAACGTGAAAACATCTTAACAGTACTTTGTATCTCTTGGAAAGCAAACTTAGTCCAGAAAGTAACAAGAGTGGGAACAAAAGGTGTAGAAGAAACTCAAGCTGCAGTCCTGACATCACTTCTTGAGTGCCTTATGAGAGGACAAAGCATGGTTAAGGCTCTTTTACAAGCCTGTTTAATAAAATGTCAGCTTCAAAACTTCAGGACCATGTTAATCTTTCAATTGAGTATGTTGGCTCCCCATGGGACTAACAAACTCTTCTCATTTATCTAATTCACATGTATTTACCAATGTTTTCCACTACCGCACTTCCTCTGGACTAGTTTGAACTTTCCAAATTCTCTACTGCATGTAGTCAAATATGAAGCCTGGTTCAGACATCGAACTTTAATGTGTGCCAATCCTAAATCCCATTTGAGTCATCTCAAATAATTAAGTTTGACTGTTGATTTAGATGTCAAACCTAATGCCATCAAACTTAATTGCTAATTTGACACAAAATCTTTGACGAATATAATTTGCACTATGAATGCGTATTGTATGCGTTAGATTTGGCAAGTGCAACGTTTACACTGGGCCTGATCCATGTCATAAATGCCTGCTCATACACCAGAAACATTTCTTTCACAGGAACCAATCGTAAATGTCGCAGAGACTTGTCTGCTTACATGCGCAGACCACAGCTCCTGAGTTGAATGTGAAAATTCACTAACTTCTCTGTTTCTCTAAATTTTTTAAAATATTTCTGGGCCATTCAGGTCCTTAACCATCTGATATCCCAACTTGAATTTGCCCTTTAACAATAAAAACATAAACCTTAAGACTAAAAAGGTTCATTAAAAGGTCATCAGCTTATGGATCAAAGAGTTAAGAAAAAACACTAATTAAAAGTAAAATGTAAAGATGGAAGTTTGAATTGCTGAATTTTTCCCTGCTGTGCTATAATCCCTTGCAACTTCTCATTTTAAAAAACTGTACAATTTTGTATCAGTTTTGCTTCAGTTTTGTTCTTTATCTTTACACCCTGGTTAATCCACCTCTTTAAGATTGTTTTTGCCATAATGAAGTCCATTAAATGTAAGAGCACATGCTTGCATCTGTCAAGTTTCAACTTGAACTCACTGATATCAATGCACATCTATGTGAAGTATCAATAACATTAACATTTCCAAAGAAATACCAGCATTTGCCGGCTTTGTGATAAAACTAACATGAATTCACACTGAGTTATGGTAAACACATGGAATTGTAATCGAAAACTTACACAGACTTAGAGGTGTGACGCTAAGTGGACATTAAGGTGACAAAAGATACGAAAAACAGTCAAACAAACAGCTTAAATACTGATTTGTCTAAGAAATTATTTAGTACACAAATCAGCATGAAATGGCGACGAAAACAACAAGGACCAACTAGAATGTTTCAATGATTAAGTCAAACGAAGGAAGATTTTTTTTAATGAAGAATTTGAGGTAGACTTAGCAAAAGTCACAAGTTATTTTTTTTTCAAACAACCCTCAATATCAAGGAAATGCGTAATTAAACTTAATAAGCTTATGTGCATGAGAAACTATCTTACCCATCCACCGTGCTGAGCAATCCAGCGAGCGATTCTCTCATTGAAGATAAAATCCACCACAAATCGTATGATTCTCCGTAGAAAACTCCCACTGAATCCTTTGCGTATGACAGTCACAGCAATTTCGTAGCCGAAACAAAGTAAAGCTACAATTCTTCCCCAGTTAATTCCTGAACGAAACAACCTTCGAGCCACGGCGGCAAAAGTCTCGTAAGCCGTTGCAGGCGTAAGGCTTAATGAATCGATCATATCCTTGAATTGGTCTTTGTACTTAGCATCTATTTCATCACCTATCTCTCCTAGACGTCTACCAATAACAGGAACATGCTGCGAAAATGGATGAACATCATTACAAGACCGCAGTTCTTCTAACGCGTCTGGACGTGCGCTTGCCGAAGGACTGTTCATTTCACCCAGTTCTTCACCTCTTTGCGTCTCATCTTGAAAGCGTAGGAACATAAAATGTCGGAAAACCCCTTCAGTGTCCTGTACGACCGCTATTTCATCTTCTTCAGGCTGAATTTCCTGATTACTTCTGCTGGACTCATCACCACCTGAAGCCATTTTTTTCCAAAACCAGCGACTCACGAAACCACTGAGCCAACAATACAATAGTCCAGCGGAAGCTATGATGAGGAAACCAGCGAGTGATCCCGCAAACTCGCTAAAAATCCGCTTTTATCCCGCACCTATGCCGCACAATTTCCCGCATCCCGCTTCTCGGTTCGGAAACCATCATCCGCCTTATCTTTCCTTTAGAAAATATTCGTAGATTTTTTAACGAGTTGAATCCGAGAATCACAGGTTTTTCCACATGGGCAAGAAGGTACGGTCACTCACAGCTCCTGCTGGAGGGTCAGTCAAGAAATACTGAACATTTAGGGACCTCGCTAAAAGTGACCATTCATCAGCCACTACTTGTCATGTTAAAAGCACCGGTCTTACAACATAAAATTGGATCATTTTGACATTTTAGCATCGGGCAAAATTGACTTTCATTGCAGAATTAGGGAGACTGTTCATTCAAGAGCTAGTGAGAAGAAGCCGTTGCTTTACAAGCTACTTCTCATGACGTATAGATAGGTTAAATTACTGCTGCGGATTCATTTATCTCAGTCTAGGTTCCAGACCTCTAATATTTACGATATAAGAAATTTTCAACTGACTTGAAAGTCTAGTCTCTTTGTCAGTTAATCCTTTCATGAGTCCCCTTGTTCCGGTGGTTCTCATGTTCATGCTGATCCCTATATAAAAGAAGAGAATGGACAAGGCTATAGGGAAAAGAAATCGCTATTTATTGAGTTTTATTTGCCGGTCATTGTTAAATGAATACTCGTTATCAAACTGCTTAGAAAATAGATTATCTAGACTAAACAGGAAAGGAAAGTTTTCTCTTAAATGGGGAACACTTTGTTTAAAATAGCAGCTATTTTTAGAATTGAATAGCTTGTTTCATTAGAATACACTGACAATTTTGAACATTTGTGTCACTCTCCGCGCCAGTCAAACATTATAATTGCCACCTGCTAGTTATCCCGGACATCATTGTAAAAACCGTTGAGAATTGTTTACCGTTAACATATTAAATGCATTGATGACACTGCTTAAATATTCTTGGCTGGAAACGGCGGTCAGCCTGATACAGACAACATAGCGTTGCTTATGTCTCCACGTTCAAAGGATTCGACGGGGGCCTACAGAAATTCCAAAATATTTTTCAGTTCTTCGTTAATTACGAGGGTTGATATTGCTTAAGAAAGCGATAAAACTCTCGTGGCTTAATTGGCTCAAAAACAAAGAACAGGAGATCGCCTTCAACGCATTTTCAATTCCATGAGTCCAGGGCGTCCGATAGTTATCATAAATTTATGAGCTTACCGGCTTCACCATAGATACGGCTGGTTTACAAGAAGTTACACTCAGATAACAACACATTCGCAGTGTTAACATATATAGCAGCGGACGTGTTGGTATAACTGTTTACCATTAAAGCAGGTTGCCTGATGATCTAATGAAAATGTCAGCGACGAAGAAACAAGTCCGCTTCAGCGAGACTGGTGGAAGAAACACGTCTTTAAGTGAAACTTTAACTTCGCAGAAAATAGAAACATCACATTCTGAAACAAGTTCAAATAACAAGAGAAAGAAGAAAAAGAAAAAGACGCAACTGCAGATACTTAAAGCAGAGAAGAAAAAGCTTAAAAGGGACTTGAAGGATACCAGAAAAGGAATTTTGGAAGATAATGAGCGAAAAGCAAGTCCGGATTACACTCCGTATGAAAATCGACAGAGACTAGCGAGGACAACAAGCGACAACCTTTCCAAGCTTCAACAACTAGAGAGCAAAATTACAACGAAGGAAAAAGCAAATAAAATGAAAATTCAGAGGAAACTTCACACCAAACTTAAGAAAAGATTTATTAGGGCTGATAAGCAGCACAGTCGACTTATCGAAATGACTTCAAAGATGGAAAGGATGAAATTAGGCGAAGAAGAATTACGCGCTGAAATAACGCGAGAACTGAGAGAGAGCGAAGAAACTTTGCCAGCCGTAGAGTCAACAATTCATTTGCCTCCCATAAACATGATAAGGGCAAATTCAGCGGACTGGGTGAAGCTTTCTTCCAGCAAAAGAGAGGCATCGACGTCTGACTGTGGCATAGATGAGGACTCCCGACCCGCTTCTGTGTTGAGTGAATCTGCAATTCAGCTGAGCCCCAGTGAAAAGAGAATAGTGGCAGATAAACTCTCTCATAAATACGACATGACAAGGGAACTAAGAAACACCATTCATGAACACATGATCTCTCGCTCTTACAGTTTCTCTTATTTCAACATTATACCTCCGTACAAGCGGAGAAAACCGAAACCACAGAAAACCAAACAAGCTTTCAATCGCATGGTTTACGAGGACAAAATAGGAGTAGTGGCCTTCAGCAAGCTGTATCCGAAAAAAGTTGTTTTAAGCGCTTAAAAATTCAGGTTGGATTCTTGCGAGACAATTTTTACACTAAACTTGCTTCAGTCGCGTTTGTTTCTCAGTGAAATAACCGGTTGCAATTACTGAATAATGTTAAATGTAATATTCTCCGGAAGTTTAAGACGTTTTTGACATTTTGTTGTCATACTTTTATAAATGAAAGTGGTAATTCGCCTTACCACTGAAATAATCAGACCTGAACATTTTTCTTCGATAAAGTTTTGCATTGTAAAGGAGAAAAAAATCCTAAATCGGCCATAAAAGGCGGAGAAATGTTTCGATATAAATAATTGCAAGTAACTAAGCAACCCAACGACTGCTGGAACACTTTGCTGTCAAGTCACCAGCTGATGCTAGTTATTGCGCAAATGTCCCTAATGGGAATTAAATTTTAACGTGTTGGCGGCTTTGCCAAGGTATACATGTTGAAACATGCTAATAGGGTCCTAACAGAAATACGATGCGTTTCTTTATCCTATCACGTTTCCTTTCATTAATGTTTATTTCACAAAGAGTCAGAATAACCAAAAAGCAGGCATTCTTTTGTTTCCAAAATTGTCCAAAACGACAACTCATTGATATGAGTTGGTTATTTTAGCTGCCCTCTGTGACAATAAATTAATGTGGGGAGCTAGTCTGTCTAGCCTTGTCGGTTTACTAGCTGACGCGAGAACGATAGGATAGCAGATTTCTTTGACAGCAGTTTCACGACATGCGAACGCTCCGGTTTCATGGTCAGCGGATGGTTTCCCGGCGACCATCTCCAACCCACTCACCACGCAGTCAGGAGCAACCAGAGAACTCTGGGCTCGAGGTTATGACGTGCGCGTCTTACAGGAATAAGCTATGTACCACGTGGCGGAAAATGCCCTTCATGTGAAAGTACAATCTGAGCCAGAAGCTGTAACCACAGGATAACACTATAAGATCCCTGTTAAGTCCTGTAATTAAGTTACAACAACGGAAGACTAAAATCGTACTTGTTTGCTATTTTGAACTGAATGATACCGGTTTCGCCCCATGGCGAGTTCACCCCCATCGAGTTCGCCCCAACTATAAAATTTCTATTTCGAGTTTGCTCCAAAATTTTG